AGCCGAGCCTATCTTAGTTGCATTCTTGCATGTGTTGCATTAGGCATCTCAGCATAATTAGGATTCATGCATGTTTTCTAATTGGCTTCTTTCTTTGGCTCAGAGTACTTGGTAGGTGTTTACGCTTTAGCATCCTTGCATGCGTGTGAGTGATTGCCATGATTACATGCTTACCATGAGGCTATGTGCTTATGTGATATAACCGCCTGAATGCCTGTGAAGGTTGGGTTGCTTGAATTGGAATAATTCGTTGAAACCCGTGTTTTAGCCTACTTGCGAGTACCAAATTTCAATCCATTTTCGAAACAAACGGATATGCGATGCTTTGTTCCAACTTAGGCAATCTAGCCTATACTTGTATGATGTGAGCATCACATAATAATTCTAGGTTAATAACCGGAATAAGAGCACATGTGTTTTCAAAAACAAGATATCATGCTTAGTAGTGGTCGATCTTTGATCAGGCGAGCGGGGGTGCTCATGAAATGACCTTCCCCAATCATACCCAAGTTCCCGAGCCGAGACAACTTTGGTGATGACGGACATGTGACCTTAGGCACGAGTCAGGGTTTCCTAAATTCCCCCAAAATAAAATATTTAGGTGGCGACTCTGTATCTAGCAAAGCAGTCCATGTTTGGCATTTCTTTCTAAAAATCAGTTTTCCAAAACGATTTGTCAGATTTAGACTCTTTGGTGATTTATCGATCTTGCATTGCACTTTGCGAGATTAGATTCAGAACCGTGACATTTGAGTCCGAACTGTAGCATGAGGCCCTCGGGGCGCGTCTACACACCATTAGCGAAAATGGGTAGAAAACACACATGTGCACAACAAACTCCTCATCTAGCTTATAAATAAGGCATAAACCATTCTAGTTGACCTTCCTTTGAAAACTTAATTGGTTAACAGAAACAATATAATGTACACATTTCCAAATAAGTGCTTAAGCTTCCCTTGGGCTGGTTTGACCAAATACTGCTCTAAAAACCCTTCATCTTGTCTCTATTATTCAGTTTTCCATCACCTCTCCCAGAAGGCACCTATTCCACTTTAACATTAAATTTACCTCATAATTGGAAGTAATAAAGTACATGCCATTAATCATATAGTCCTAGCTCAATATGTTTATTGCATTAGTACATGACACTAGTATTGGCATGACTAATCTATCATCTTCATCAACTAGAATTTGCTATACAAAATCCTCCTTCAATGTATACGACACACATGCACTAATCTGTCATCATCTTTAACTAGAGCTCGTCGAGTATTTCATCCCTGTAATAAAATCACGTTGATCGGATATTGATAGTGCGATACCCCTGTTCCGTATTATGCTAATTTATCCTCCTTATGCATATGATTATGTGTTTGTTATGATTTTGAGTGCCATTTTTATGAATATATGTGGTTTTGAATTTCTATCTGTTCACCGTAGGAATATCTGTTTGATTATCTGCTTTGGAATTTAAATTGAAGGCCTTATCGGCCACCGAAACCAAAAATGATTGTGCCATTGTGATTGGAAAAATTTTTAGAGCCTACGGTGAAGTTTAATTGAAAATTTGATTCAGACCAGATTAAGTTGATTAAATTGGCGAATGAGTGCCCAATTATCTCTTATTATTAAATTGTGGCTAGTGGGAATTTATGCAAAAAGGCTATACACTCAATTTTTCTCCTTTTATCTTCATTTGGGCTGATCAACTCTCTAGAAAGAGAGAAGGCCGGCTGTTAGAGAGAGAAAGGGAGGGACTTGTGCAATTTTTGGCTCAAGCTTGGGGATTTGAAGATTAAACTCAAGAATTTGCTATAGATTGGAAGAATTAAGCCTCTAGGTAAGTGAATTCATGAATTGTAAGTTATCATCTTGTGAATTCAAGTTTGAATAAAGGTCAAGAACATGGATTGAATTGATTATGAGGAAATTGAGTTGATTTTGTTGTATTGAAGTCATTAGAGGCATGCATGTAGGAAATTGGTATAAATTTCCATGTTTAAGCATAAATTGTGTAATCCATGATGAATCTTGTTTGAAATCCATGTGTTTGATCATCTCTTCACCAATTAAGTTGAGGATATTGTGTATATTTCACATGCAAGTGCAAATCATGGGAGTTTGAGTCTTGCATGCTTGAATCTAGTGTGTTGGTGATGAGTTTGAGTTAATTTGAGACATGCATGTGATTAAATTGTGAAATTGAGCTTCATTGTGTTGTAATTTGGTGGTTATACCATGCTAGAATATGTATATGTGAAGTTTGAACCAAAATCATACATTTGGAACCTTTGGACATCAAATTGAAGCTCAAGAACATGTTCTGGATTTTCCAGAATTTTGATGTCCGCTCGAGCGGGGAAGCCACCGCTCGAGCGGGGAAACCGCCGCTCGAGCGTGAATTTCGTGCTCCCAGTATTGTCTGCAGACCATGATGTCCACTCGAGCGGGGAAGTCCACGCTCGAGCAGGGAGCTATGTAGGATGGACTTCCGCTCGAGCGTCCAAGTTCCATGCTCGAGCGTAAAAATGGCATAACCAGTACTTTTGCAGACCTCATGGGTCCGCTCGAGCGGAGAAGTCCACGCTCGAGTGGGGACCCTGTTTCTGAAAATTTTGTGTGATTGTTCTGTGTTTCGTTTTCCATTCTCTTTCACTTGCAAGCACTCTTAGGCATGCATTAAGCATTGTAATTGAGTTAAAGAGATAAGAATGAAGCCTAAAGAGGAATATGTGAATTAAAGAACGGATTGAATCGTTTGTGACCCATATGTGTTATATAATGTGTAGGGTCAAGCTCCAGGGCAAATCCACGAGCCGATCACTGTGAGTAATATCTTAACAAAGATATGTGAAATATGTTGTTGTCCAAATTGCCTACTTCTATGTAAGTTTTATAAGTTCATTGATTCGATTGGTGGACAATGGTTGTTACACTAAATGATTGGGCCAGAGGCCGTTTTGATAAGAACGAATGAATGGGCCAGAGGCCGTTTTGACAAGAACGAATGGATGGGCCGAAGGCCGTTTTGACATGAATGAATGGGCCGAAGGCCGTTTTGACAAGAATAAATGATTGGGCCGAAGGCCGATTGACATGAATGATTGAGCCGAAGGCCGATTGACATAAATGGTTGGGCCAAAGGCCGTTTTGGCACAAATAAAAGTTTAACATGCATGAATGGGCCAGAGGCCAGTTTGACACGCATGAATGGGCCAGAGGCCAGATTGACATGAATGAAAGTTGAAAGGCCTAAAGGCCAGTTTGATATGAAAGTTTGAAAAGCCTAAAGGCCAGTTGGATATGGAAGTTTGAAAAGGCCAAAGGCCAGTTTGACACGAATAACAGTTTGACACGAATAACAATTTGACACTAATGAATTGGGCCCAAGGCCGTATGATGTGTTTGGAACCGCAATTACTTAACTTACATATGTCTATGTATGTATGTATTAGTAGAAATATAAATTGGGCCCAAGGCCGTTTGGTGTATATTGTTCCAATGTGTATTCTTTATTTGATATTATTCACTGGGCTTTCGCTCACGCTCATTCATGTGTTTGTAGGTGAGCCAAGAGAAGTCCAAACCCAGCCCCAGTGAAGTCTGTATGGAACGACTAAGGTTTTGAAGAGTCAGCCCTTGCATCTCACGCACGAGACACGTCTTCGCCCTTCTGTCATTCTATGTTATTTTGTCATGTCGGCAAGGACTTTGGTGTGCGTCTGTATCTAGCTTTGTTTTGGCTAACTTAGATTTGAATGATCCTGTCTGTATAGAACTTCATGTTACTATACTTTCTGTCATGAGTTATTAACATATGTATGTATGGAATGTTATGATGTGCATATAAGCACGACTCTATGGACAAAGTTTTAAAATTGCTTCCATTTGGCCCCCGTTAACTCTGTTAAAATACGTCTGGTTTGATTTGAGGCTGTAGGTAATCTCATGATTATTGGCCAGTTATGTCCTTAACCCACGGGGGCGGGTTCGGGTCGTGACAGATAGCCCCTTGACCAGTTCATAATTTTGTCAATGATTAATATGAATTTAAAAATAAATTGTTAAAAAAAAAGTGTTCCGATCAAAAGGCTATCAATATCTCATCAACATGATTTTTTACAAGGATGAAGTACTCGAGTAGCTCGACAAAATGAACGGTTTAGATCATCGAAATGGGACCTACGGTGAACCCCAGGGGCCTAATAGTACAATCGAGTCCACAACGTGAACTGGAGAAAAGCTGTTCCCTAATCATGACTAACAAAGTATATACGGTTATTTATAGTGTCAGATCAATATGTTTTTTCCATTAGTACAAGACACTAGTATTGGCAAGACTAATCTAGTATCATCCTCAACTAGAACTTGTTGTACCACATCTTCTTTCCTTGTATACAGCTGCTGACCCTCTTTTGATGTTATTAGTAAACAGTCGCAATTGTTGTTTCTACCACTTTATTAGATTTCAAATATTTTGTGGTGAAGTACTTGGAGGGACATCGAAACACATCTGAGAGAAGATAGACTAACTGCAAAAGGCAGATGGCTACAGCCAAAAAGACTTCTTACCCTATAAAGGTAATTGAGTATGCTAAGTAAACAAAGGTATCTCTATGATTTGATCCACCTCCCTGCCATCTTGAATCCTTTTCCTACTAATTCGATTGAAAGTGACATATTTTGGAATCCACTAGTCATGAAATGCCCGAACTTCACTTCCCAACCCAATTCTCCACTGAAAATTAGTCTATCTTCAATTAGGCCTACGCCATCCCCTTTTTCTTTTTCTTTTTTTCTTTTTGTGAAATTGTGCTTGGATTTCAACACCAACTTGGATTTCAACACCAATGTGGGGGAAAGAAAGGGGAAACAAAAGGGAAATGGAGTGAAAATATATCTTATATTTAATTTACACTTTACTCACTTTTTCTTTTTCTTTTTAAAATTCATATTTTTTTTTTTTTTGCTACATCGGAAATAAAACATAAAACAAAAAACTAAGCCTTCTCTCTACCCATCCCCAGCATGTTAACCACAAGCAGGTCGCGAATCTCAGCTGGGGCGTTGTTAACAACTAGAATGTCTTCGGGTTGGGCAGCTCCTAGTTTGGCTAGAGCATCCGCGCATAAGTTCCCTTCACGATAAACATGTTGGGCAACGCATTGGCAGCCATTGAAAATGTTCCTCGCATCTTCCACCAGTCCTTTGTAAGGATGTTTGTCACCGGGGCCTTCCTCTAGCAGCTTGACAACTTCCTGAGCATCGGTTTCCACAATCACCTTGTTGAAACCTTTTTGGAGGATGATGGTCAATCCTTTGTATACCCCCCCATAGTTCAGTTTCAAGGCTGGTACAGTTGTCCATCCTCCCATAATATCCACAAATCCAAGCTCCCCTTTCATCACGAATAAGACCCCCAAAGCCATTCAGTCCACTGCTCCATTTGCTACCATCAGTGTTCAGTTTCAAGGTACCTACAAGAGGAGGACGCCAAAAAATTAAACGAAATGGAGGTCGAGGATTAATAATAGAAGAACTGAAAGCAGAATTAATTGCAGTGGAATAATCAAAAATAAATTTCATGCTTTCAAACTAATTAAACTCTTTGTTTTCAAACACATGCAAGTTCCTATTTTTTCAAATTTTCCATAGGGTGACCAAGAAGATAGTGCTCCAGGAAGACTAGGTTCCAAATTTCAGCCATTGAAGATGATCCTCGCATCTTCCACCAGTCCTCTGTAAGGATGTTTGTCACCAGGGCCTTCCTCTAGCAGCTTGACAACTTCCTGAGCATCGGTTTCCACAATCACCTTGTTGAAACCTTTTTGGAGGATGATGGTCAATCCTTTGTATACCCCCCCATAGTTCAGTTTCAAGGCTGGTACAGTTGTCCATCCTCCCATAATATCCACAAATCCAAGCTCCCCTTTCATCACGAATAAGACCCCTAAAGCCATTCAATCCACTGCTCCATTTGCTACCATCAGTGTTCAGTTTCAAGGTACCTACAAGAGGAGGATGCCAAAAAATTAAACGAAATGGAGGTCGAGGATTAACAATAGAAGAACTGAAAGCAGAATTAATTGCAGTGGAATAATCAAAAATAAATTTCAAGCTTTCAAACTGATTGAACTCTTTGTTTTCAGACACATGCAAGTTCCTGTTTTTCCAAATTTTCCATAGGGTGACCAAGAAGATAGTGCTCCAGGAAGACTGGGTTCCAAATTTGTCATTAGATTTAGAATTAGATAGCAGCCAATGCATCCAGTTTGCTTCAGACATCTGCAAATACCAATGTGGGTTTCGAAGAGCAGTCCAAATTTCCTTGGCTTTGAAACAAGTTCGAAACAGATGGTTAAGATCTTCAGGTTCACTGCAAAAGGGACAGCAAGAATTATCTGACAAACCTCTTTTCATTCTCATACTATTAGTGAGGAGTTTCCCATGTAAGATAGTCCACAGAAAGCCTTTGAGCTTCAATGGGACTTTCTTTTTCCACATCCAGTGCCAATCCACCATTTTTCCATCATAATTCGAAACCACCTTAAGCACTAGAGGTGGAGAATGAAGCATCAGGAGCCCCTTTCCAAACCAGTAGATCTAGGTTAGGATTATATTTGGGAGCTTTCTCTTTAAACACAGAGGCAGCCACAATGGGGGGGAAAGCTTGATTAATTATGTGAACATCCCAATCACCATCCGCATCAATAACATCAACAGCCTTAGATATGGCAGTAGCATCCGGTATGAGAGATATTGAGGTCATGACCTCCTTAATAGGTCTCTCCCCACCCCCACCAATCAGTCCAAAGGTTAACATTAGTGCCATCACCAATGGACCATTTTGCACCTTTTCTCAAGATACCTCTAGAATTCAACATGCCTCTCCACACAGGAGATGCTCTACTAGCCTTCTTCCCATTCAGGAAGTGAAGGTTTTTTAGATACTTAGCTTTCAGTACCTCTATCCACAGCCCACCCTCGCTATGAATCTGTTTCCAACCCAATTTTGACAGTAAGGCAAGGTTATGATCTCTAGCCTTTTTAATGCCAAGGCCGCCATGCTTCTTCTGTTTACAAACCTCATTCCGATTGACAAGATGGATTTTCTTCTTCTCTAGGGTATCACTCCAAAGAAAATTTCTATTTAGCTTATCAATATCATTACACACTCTTATAGGTAATTCCAAAGTTTGCATAGTGTAAGTAGGCAGAGCAGAAGCAACAGATTGTACAAGGGTAGCTCTACCAGCCAAGGATAGAACATTCATTTTCCATCCAGCCAGCTTAGTTTGAAGATTTTCAAGAATGTAATTAAAGTGACTCCGGCTCACCCTTTCGTAGAGGTACACCCAGGTATTTACCTAAGTCAGAAGTTAGGGGGATGCCACATCTAGCACTAAGATCTCTAGCCTGCCTTAGATTAATGTTATAGGACACAAACATTTTGGACTTCTGAAGGTTAATCATGAGTCCAGATGTGAAACTCAACTCATTCATAACTTCAGTAATAATAGCACAATGCTTAATGTCCACAGTAGCAAACAATAGACGGTCGTTAGCAAAGAATAAGTGAGTAAGACAAGGTCCTCCTCTAGCAAAAGAGATACCTTTCCACTTCTTTTCCTCTACCTTATGGCTTATCATGTTGGACAGTCGTTCCATGCACAAAACAGAAAGGTATGGGATAAAGGATCACCCTGCCTTAGGCCTTTCAAGGGCCTAAACTCCTCATGTGCTTCACCATTCCATAAAATAGAAGTTTGCACTGAGGTCACACAACACATAATTAACTCCATCCATTTCTCATTAAAATTAAATTCAATAAGAGTTTCTTTCAGAAAATGCCAAGAAATATTATCATAAGCCTTCTCCAGATCAATTTTCAAAATCATGTTACCAATCTTACCTTTGCGAAATCTCATCGAATGGATGGCTTCTTGAGCAATGATGATGTTATCACTGGTATTTCTACCAGGGACAAAACTACTTTGGTTGGGACGCACCAGTTTATCAAGAAGAGGTCGAATTCTATCCACCATAATTTTTTTAAGAATTTTATAAGTGACATTACACAGGCTAATTAGACAAAATTGTTTGATCCTCTCAAGATTCTCCACCTTAGGGATAAGAGCAATAAGGGTCCTATTAATTTCCTCAGGGATCAAATTGGTATTGAAACAATTTTTAATGAAGGAACAAACAGTAGGGCCAACAATATCCCAAAATTTATTAAACAAAATAGCTTGAAACTCATCTCTCCCAGGAGCTTTGAAAGCTTTGATATTATTCATAGCTTTTTTCATCTCCATATCAGAAACAGCTTGGGACAATACAATATTATCATCACTAGATAAAGTGGAGGCAGCTTGATTGCACCAGTGGTTTAGAGAGTTGGAAATAGGCTCACTAAACAAGTTTTTGAAATAAGTGACAACCAGGTGTTTAAGGTCACTGGCTTGATCAACCTAGACCTCATCATCATTTTAGAGGACTTCAATTCGAAGTCTCCTCCTTTTAATCAAAGTGGAGAGATGAAAGAATTTAGTATTACGGTCCCCTTGGACAATCCAATTTTCATGGGATTTCTGAAGCCAAAGTAATTCCTCCTGGTAGAGAGTTTGATTATATTGGTCCACAAGCTCCTTCTCAAGAAAGTGAAAATTATGGGTGTTGACACGGGATTGGGATTTTTGGATCCCTTCAATCCTCCCTAGCAGCCATCTCTTACGTCGAAAAATATTACCCAAAATATCCTTATTCCAATCAGATAGCTTCACAGCCATGCTTTGGAGTTTATCAATGAGAACAGGGCTAGAATGATTCCAATTAAGCTCAACAACAGACCTGAAGCCCTCATGGGTTATCCAGGCTGCTTCAAATTTAAAAGGTCTAGTAGAAGGGTTCGGAGAAGTTTTACCTTGAGTGTAGACCACCATCGGAGAGTGATCAGAGTAAGTTCTAGGGAGGTTGCGAATGAAACCATTCGGGAACTGAGTCCTCCATTCTGCATTGCATAGACCTCGATCTAGACGGGCTAAAGTATTAGCCCAACCTTGCCTATTATTTGACCAAGTGAAGTTAGGACCAGTGTAGCCAAGATCCATGAGGTTACAGTTGTTGATTCGGTCAGAGAACTTCCTACTACGCCTTTGACTTTGTGTTAGATTCTGACTTTGGTTCGTGGAGAACCCTCTTTTTTCAGCACTATTAGCATAATCATTGAAATCACCATTGAAATCACCAGCAGCTAGCCAAGGCATATTCATATCTTGGACTATATTATCCAAACGATCCCAAAGTTCTTCACCGATCCCAAAGTTCATATTCAAATCCATAATATAAGCCCAACCTTAATCTCCCCTTCCACGAGCTGACCTTTAATTGGTCCAGACCCTGACCCTAGTCAGTGTCCATCACTTATCATGTCCATCGTCCTTAAGTACTAGTTGTCTACATATTCCAAAAAGTCAATGTTAGAGATTCAACTGTGACGACTCACCATGTATAATCTGGGATTTAATTAAGGAGTTTTAAATTTTAATTATCAATTACTTTAATCTAATTTGAGATTTATGAAAATTATGAAAATTGATTTGTATATAATTCTATTAAGGATTTATTTTGGAATTAAAAATTGAAAGCCTAAATGACTCAAGAGAGTACAAATGGTGAATTGAATTATTTTAATTTCGAGTATCAGACCATATAGGAGTTTAATTAAATATTCGATTCAAATTTATAAAATTGAGATTTGATTAATTGGGACAGAATTGGAGTTAATTAAGTTATACGAATTAGGAAGTAGGATTATTATGAATTAAATTTATTTATGAGGCGTTCAATTAAATATGTAATTTATTGACAGAAATCTTGGGTTAATCTGAAATTCAAGGCCTTAATAATGTGAGAAGACAAAATTGATAATGAAAATAAATTTAATTTGACATTTTGAGCCCTTTTGGAACTTTGATTAAAAATTTGATTCAGATTTATAAATTTAAATATAATTAATTGGGCTGTAATAGAAGTCAATTATACTAATTAAATTATGTGGGACTGGTGATTAGTTATGATTAATTTAATTATGTGTTAATGAAGAGCTATTAAGATTAAGTGTTTCTTAATTAAATTAATCCTAATCATAAATTGAATTGTGGACAGGTCTAGAACTGAGAGTGTATTTGGGTGTGGGTGTGCAGAGAAATTATGTGTGTGCTGAGAATTTGTGTATGTGTGCATATGTGCACACGTAGTGTAGTGTAAAGAAGGGTGTAAAGAAAAGAAATGAACCTCATTCCATTAATTCTTTGGTTGAAAAAAAAAAAAAAAAACTGAGTGAGAGAGAGAGAGAGAGAGTTATAGAGAGAGAAGTGAGGAACTTAAGACTTGGAAAATTGAAGGAAGAACAAAAAAAAAAATAGAG